GGAAGACTCAACATTGTGAAAATGTCAATTCTACCCAAAGCGATCTACAGATACAACACAATCCCGATCCAAATTCCAACGATATTTTTTAATGAGATGGAGAAACAAATCACCAACTTCATATGGAAAGGGAAGAGGCTCCAGATAAGTAAAGCATTACTGAAGAAGAAGAACAAAGTGGGAGGTCTCACACTACCTGATTTTAGAACCTATTATACTGCCACATAGTCAGAACAGCCTGGTATTGGTACGACAATAGACGCATATACCAATGGAACAGGATTGAGAATCCAGACATAAATTCAACCACCTATGAGCACCTGATATTTGACAAAGACCCAAAGTCCGTTAAATGGGGGGAAAAAAGTCTCTTTAACAAATGGTGCTGGCATAACTGGATATCCACCTGCAAAAAAATGAAATAAGACCCATACCTCACACCATGCACAAAAACTAACTCAAAATGGATCAAAGACCTAAATATAAAATCTAAGATGATAAAGATTATGGAGGAAAAAATAGGGACAATGCTAGGAGCCCTAATACATGGCATAAACAGAAAACATAACTAACAATGCACAAACATCAGAAGAGAAACTAGACAACTGGAGGCTCCTAAAAATCAAACACTTATGCTCATCAAAAGACTTCACCAAAAGGGTAAAAAAAACCCTACAGACTGGGAAAAAAACTTTGGCTACGACAAATGCGATCAGCGTCTAAACTCTAAAATCTACAAGATATTGCATAACCTCAACAACAAAAGGACAAATAACCCAATTTAAAAAAGGGCAAAGAATATGAACAGGCACTTCACCAAAGAAGACATTCAGGCAGCTAATAGATACATGAGAAAATGCTCACGATCATCAGCCATTAGAGAAATGCAAATCAAAACTACAATGAGATACCATCTCACCCCAACAACAAGGCTAGCATTAATCCAGAAAACACAAAATAATAAATGTTGGAGAGGTGGTGGAGAAACTGGAACACTTATACACTGCTGGTGGTAGGAATGTAAAATGGTACAACCACTTTGGAAATCGATTTGGCACTTCCTTAAAAAGCTAGAAGTAGAAGTACCATACGATCCAGCAATCTCACTCCTTGGAATATATCCTAGAGAAATAAGAGCCATCACACGAATAGATATACACACACCCATGTTCACTGCAACACTGTTCACAATAGGAAAAAGATGGAAACAACCTATGTGCCCATCAATGGACGAATGGATAAACAAATTATGGTATATTTACACAATGGAAAACTACGCAACTATAAAGAACAATGATGAATCTGGGAAACATTTCATAACATGGATGAAGCTGGAAGGCTTTATGCTGAGTGAATTTAGTCACTCACAAAAGGACAAATATTGTATGAGACCACTATTATAAGAACTCAAAAAAAGGTTTAAACACAGAAGAAAACATTCTTTGATGGTTACGAGGGTGGGGAGGGAGGGAGAGGGGAATTTACTAGCTGGAAAGTAGACAAGATTTATCTTAGGTGAAGGGAAGGACAACACATAATACAGGGGAAGTCAGCACAACTGGACTAAACCAAAAGCTAAGAAGTTTCCTGAGCACAACCAAATACTTTGAGGGACAGAGTAGCAGGGGTGGGGATCTGGGGACCATGATTTTGGGGGACATCTAGGTCAACTGGCATAACAAAGTTTATTAAGAAAATGTTCTACATCCCACTTTGCTCAGTGGTGTCTGGGGTCTTAAAAGCTAGCGAGCAGCCATGTAAGATGCATCAATTGGTTCCAACCCACCTGGAGCAAAGGAAAATGAAGAACACCAAAGATGCAAGGAAAATATTAGCCCAGGAGACAAAAAGGGTCACATAAATCAGAGACTCCATCAGCCTGAGACCAGAAGAACGAGATGGTGCTCAGCTACCACCAATGACTGCCCTGACAGGGCACACAACAGAGAGTCCCTGACAGAGCAGGAGAATAGTGGGGTGCAGAACTCAAATTCACATAAAAAGACCAGACTTAATGGTCTGACTGAGACTAGAGGAACCTCAGAAGACATGGCCCCCAGACTCTCTGTTAACCCAGAACTAAAACCATTCCCAAAGCCAACTCTTCCAACAAAGATTAGACTGGAGTATAAGACATAAAATGATACTCATGAAGAGTGTGCTTCTTAGTTCAAGTAGATAACAAGACTAAAGGGGCAACTCCTGTCCAGAGGTGAGATGAGAAGGCAGAAAGGGATAGGAGCCGGCTGAATGGATACAGGAAATCCAGGGTGGAAAGGGGGAGTGTGCTGTCACATTATAGTGAGAGCAACTAGGGTCACATAACAATGTGTGTATAAATTTTTGTATGAGAAACTCACTTGAGCTGTAAACTTTCACCTAAAGCACAATTAAAATTTTATAAATCATACACAACTATAATTATGCTGAAGATAAATTAAAAATGGTTACAGCAGTACATCGACAAGGAACTGCAAGAAATTCAAGTCAGATTCGGAAGAGGACATGGAACGAGGGATATCACCGCTGATGTCAGATGGATCTTGGCTGTAAGCAGAGAGTAACAGAAAGATGCTTACCTGTGGTTTTACTGACTATGCAAAGGCACTCTCGACCGTGTAGATCATAACAAATTATGGATAACGTTGCAGAGTGGGAATTCCAGAACACTCTATTGTGTTCATAGACCAAGAGGGAGTTGTTTGAAGGGAACAAGGCGGTACTGCATGGTTTAAAATCAGGAAAGTTGTGCGTCACTGTTGTATCCTTTCACCATACTTATTCAATCTGCATGCTGAGCAAATAATCTGAGAAGTTGGACTATATGAAGAAGAACACGGAATCAGGATTGGAGGAAGACTCATTAACAACCTGCGATATGCACATGGCACAACCTTGCTTGCTGAAAGCAAAGAGAACTTGAAACACTTACTGATGAAGATCAAAGACTGCAGTCTTCAGTACTGATTACATCTTAACATGAAAAAAACAAAAATCCTCACAACTGGACCAATAAGCAACATCATGATAAATGGAGAAAAGACTGAAGTTGTCAAGGATTTCATTTTACTCAGATCCACAATGCCTATGGAAGCAGCAGTCAAGAAATCAAATGACGTATTGCATTGGGCAAATCTGCTGCAAAAGACCTTTTTAAACTGTTAAAAAGCAAAGATACCACTTTGAGGACTAAGTGCACCTGACCCAAGCCATGGTATTTTCAATCACTTCATATTCACTTCGGAAGACCGAAGAAGAATTGATGGCTTTGAATTATGGTGTAGGTGAAGAATATTGAATATACCATGGACTGCCAGAAGAATGAACAAATCTGTCTTGGAAGAAGTGCAGCCAGAATGTTCCTTAGAAGGGAGGATGGACATGTTATCAGGAGGGACCAGTCATGCTTGGTAAAGTAGAGCGTCAGTGAAAAAGAGGAAGACCTTCAACTAGATGGATTGACACAGTGGCTGCAACAGTGGGCTCAAACATAGCAATGATTGTGAGAATGGCGCAGAACTGGGCAGTGTGTCATTCTGCTGTACATAGGGTCGACAGCATCTCACATGTTAAAGACAACAACCACCACCACGTAAGTGCATATGTGTAACTGGATATAAAACTAGGACATACACCAAACTAGAAGTAACAATATCTAACTTCGGGAGGTGAATGAGATTGAGGAAGGGTGGAAGGAGTAGGAGACTTTCATCGTCAACTCTATATACTAGTTAGTGTATTGTTTGAATTTTTACACTTGGGAAATGTTCATGAAGTACTTATATAACTAAATGAATAAACCAAAAATCCCACATTGTTATAAAAACATTAAGTACTTGAGTGGTAATTTAACTTAGGACCACAATAAATTCATTTAAAGATTATTATGTAAAACTTTAATGAGCAAAATAAAGGATGATATAATAAATGGAGAAATACATCTATAGCTCTTTGAGAAGATTTAATATAGTAAAGATGACACTATTTCCTAAACTAATCTATGGGTTTTAAGTTCTTTACCACCTTATAACAGGGATCACCTTTTTTTCCAGTGTCCAATAATATGTTTATCATTTCTTTTTAAGGCCTTCTACTGACTGGATGAGACCTACTCACATTATGGAGGGTAATCTGCTTTACTTAAAGTCAACTGATTATCAGTGTTAATCATTTTTTTCATAGCAACACTGAGATTAATGTTTGACCAAACAACCAGGCATCATAGCTTAGTGAAGATAACATATAAAATAAAATTAACCACTACTAATAAATACTATTGGAAAACTGGATATTAGTAAAGACAAAAATATAGATTCATAGCTCATGTGATATGTTGTGACAAATTTCAAATGGATCAAAGATTTTAACATTTTTAAAACCCCATTTTTAAAAACTAGAAAAGAAAGGTAAATAGTTTAACCAGGGAATGGAAGAACTTGTATAAATGCTGAATAGCATCAGAAACAAGGTAGATGTGAATAAACAAGTAGAGATCTAATAAAGAACTAAGTGTGCCCTTACCTTCCACAGCACATGTGATGCTTGTCGGGCATTCCCAGGCCCAGTACCAGGACACAATACTTTTGTGCCAAGTATTTCTGTGCTATATCCAACTTACTTAAAACCAATTTCATCTCTTTTTTTTCTACAAGAGCCCTGAAAAGAAAAATGACCATTTGGAGTAATTTTGGAAAATGCCTATATTAATTAGTGAAAAGTCAGAATTATAAACTATTTTGGAAGAAATACAAGTGGGTCAGAGTTCACTCATTATTTATTTTATTTGAGCTATGGCATAGGGAGGTCCTCAAAGTCCCCTGATATTTATCATTGTACTTAACATCTCAAGTTTATGGTGCATTTTCTTTTTTCTAAATTCTTTATGCTACATATCCTCAATTTTATGTACAGGTAGTACTAACTTATATAGAATAGCTCAACTAACAAATTACCTATAGAGGTTGCTGGGATAGTCAGCAGCCCATTCTCCTGCTATTTTGGTAAAACAACTGTAGAGGCTCTGTCCCACCTCAGCTTCCCATGGGTTCCCAATGTTATTACTGAGTTCGGGGGTTCTATGTTTGAACTTGGGCCTACTCTCAGTTTTGAGTGTAGCTGTGTTTGCTAAGGTGGCACTTGAGCACTACTACTCTGGAAACTTTGACATCAATTATAGTAATACTGCTCCCCTGTGAATACATGGCCCTGGTTTCAATTGAATTGCAAAGGAACTTTTAAAAAGGCAACCTGTTCTTAGGTTACAGTATGTCTGAAGCATAATTTTAGAAGTTTTTGCAGTATGATATAGAAAGAAGCAATATTGCTGACAAGACATTCCAATGTGCTATTACTGAAAAGTCAAGTGTCACTAGCTTCTTCTCTGCCTTTCAACTGTCAGAAAGATTTAAACCAACTGAAATAACAGGGACAAATAACTGCTCCTTCTGATGTTATCCACTAGACTGACCACATGAAGATAAACTGTTGGGGAGAGGAATGAATTTAGGATAACATATGAATTTCAAACCACAAAAAGTTATCACATTTGATGAGGAAACTTGTGAGTCACTGGAATGAGTTTCTGGAACAGATAGATAAATACAGTAGGCAGGCTCCAACTTTACATGCTCAAATTCCATATGACCTAAACACACATCCTGACACCCCGCAATGGCCATCACTGTGCCTGCCTCCCCATTTCCCTCTGTAGTCCCCACCCCTGCACTTCCCCCCTACTTTGCCAGAGCTTCCAGTAGCTAATAGTCTAGCTATTAAAACCAAAACAAAGCAAACAACAACAATCGAGAAATGCCTTGACACTTTCAGACTAATTGTTCTTAAACTTTACTATTTATATGGATTAAGTAAGAATTGCCTAGTTGTTGTGTCATCGAGTCGACCGTAGCAACCCTACAGGACAAAGGAGAACTCCCTCATAGGGTTTCCAAGGAGCGGCTGGTGGATTCAAACTGTTAACCCTTTGGTTAGCAGCCTGAACTCTTAACCACTTCACCACCAGTGCTCCTAGAGTGCTCGCGAAAAGTGCAGCTTCCTAATGCAACCCTTTTTCCAAGGTTCAGTAGCTCTGGATAGGGCCCAGGAAATGACATTTAAAATAAACACCCTACATGATTCTGAGGTAGGTAATCCTTGGACCACATTTAGAAATGTAATATATTTTATTTACAAAGAGCCTATGGGTTGATGTGGTAAAAAGGGAAAAGCTATGGCAACAATAGCTAAGGGGAGCTAATCTAGCAATAAAATTCCAAGCAGAGCTGTCCTGACCACATGAAAGCTTCCTGTCTGGAAACCATTCCACCTATACTGCTGCCAAACTTCATTTTGTAACACTGTCTTAAATATTACCCGTTTGCTGTTCACATGAGTTAATAAGCATATCCTTTAAAAAGTACAAATGATATCATTTTATACCTATTAAATAAGAGAAAATAAAAAATAATGACAATACCCAATGCTGACAAAATTTGGATGAAGCTGATATATTTGTACATTGCTGGTAACATAAAATTGGCATAATCCTTTGAAAAAAAATCTGATAATAATTTCAAGAGCCATAGAAATGATCACAAATTTTGATCAGTAATCTCTCGCCTAGAAATGTATTCTTTTAAAAAGTCAGTTAAAACTAAGTGGAAAATCTTATGCATAAAATTATTCAATGCAATATTACTTATCAAAAAAACTGGAAATTGCCAAAATATATAAAATAGAGGGATAAAAGTAATTAATAGTAATACAGTCAGCTACTATTAAAGGACTTGACATTTATAACTTGACATGGGATTTAACCCAGGCTGCCTGGTACCAAAGTCTGTACCCTAACCACTATACTATACTCCCTCTTAATAGGTAAGTCAATTAACATACATTGGCTTGATGGAAAGTTATGCTGCTGTTAAAAATTATAATTATGAAGACTGTAATAACTGAAAATATTTGTTATAATGTTTAAAACTGCATATAATTGTGTCTTTGGCAGAGGATAAACTCTGAAATGGATATACTCTGATAAACCCAGATAAACGGTTAAACTCTGAAAAAAAGCATAGTTGACTGGTAGGGTGTGGTGGGTGCTGTTGCATAGCAGTTAAAGCACAGGCTTGGGAATTAGACAGACCTGGGTTCTAATCTCAGTTCTATCACTTACTAGGCATGTAATTTCTAAAAAGATATTTAACCTGTCTGAGCCTTAATTTCTTCATCTGTAAAATGAGGATAAGATTCCTTCTTCTGGAGTTAGAGCTTTTAATCACCTAAAACCATTTAATGCATCTTGGACACCCTTCTACATCCCTCTCTGCTCTCCTGTCCTAAATTCTAGGCATTCCTCTCAGGGGTGAAGTGCCACATGCCAAGAACTGCGTTAAAATAATATACATTTCTTTTTTATTATTTTTTTCCACTTTGCTTTAGGTGAAAGTTTACAGCTTAAGTTAATTTCTCATACAAAAATGTATATACACATATTGTTTTGTGACATTAGTGACAGCACACTCTCCCTTTCTACCCCAAGTTCCCTGTGTCCATTCAACCAGTTCTTGTCCCTTTCTGCCTTCTACCATCCTGCCTCCGGACAGGAGCAGTCCATCTGGTCTCATGTATCTGATTGAACTAAGAAGCACACTCCTTGTGCGTATTATGTTTTTTTTTTATAGCACTGCCTAATCTTTGTCTGAAGAGTAGACTTCAGGAATGATTTCAGTTCTGGATTAACAGAGCATCAGGTGTCCATAGTTTTCGGGGTTCCTCCAGTCTCTGCCAGATCCTTAAGTCTGGTCTTTTTACATGAACTTGAGTTCTGCTCCACACTTTTCTCCCGCTCCGTCAGGGACTCTCTGTTGGTTCCGTCAAGAGTGGTCATTGGTGGTACATTATCTCTTTAATATGCACAATATCTTTGCAAACCAGGTACTATTATGATCCCTGTTATTCCTCACTAGTTTGACTAAAATCAATTTTTTTCTTAAACTTCTTTTTGCGCAGATACCTCAATGTAACCTACACTTAATTCTATTATAATAAGTAAACCAACTGATTATTGGAAGCCTGGTCATAAAAAGTTATTATGATATTTTTAGAGACACAATGCTGTAGAATCAATAATTTTAAGGTTTGGACTGGTTTGGTTTTCATCATTCTGTATTGACTCCTTCTAAGAAACAGTCTACCTTGTACTACTGTATCCTAGTAAGTTTTAGGCCATTTTTAAAACCTTTCTTCTCTGTTAATCCATTCCTGTAAATTAAGAAATGAAACAAATATTTTTGCTAGATTAGCAATAATCCTCACAATTAGAAAACACCCTGTGAAATATAAACTAAAATACCACCAAAGTCTAGTAAGTTTCTATTTGGGAAGAGCAAGAATACTCAAACCCTAAGCCCACAGCTGGCTCTACCCCTTTTGACTGCTACCATAGGAAACATTTCATGATCTCTGGCTGCAGAGCTGTGAAATGCAGTCCTCAAATAACACTGCTGTTGCACATTATGATGGCTTTACCAAAGCAGCAGTATTTGAGTCATTTGGTTTTTACAAAACTGTTGTGCAGATATATTTATCTATCCATAAAACATTTTCATACAAGGGTTTTTCGTTTTGAAAACATAATGCAGCAGTAAATTAATGACTCTAGCCAGCATTCCTAACGACTAAATCACTGAGTTGGTTCCACATGTCCTGAGGAGCGCAGCTTGGGCACTCAGAAAGTTCCATGGCTTGCGAAAGGTCACTAAGCCTGAGAGGCATTGTTCTGCTCTGGACTCTGAGTTCCCAGATTCTTGTCCTGGGTGTATAGCTCTGAGCCACTTCTGCCTAAAAGCAGTTAAATTCTTCATAAATAGCCTAAGAAACTTTGTTTTCTTCTGTGATTTAGATGTCATTTTGGCCATCTGTTAATTATTTTTTAATTCTTAGTTGTTGATTTTTTTTTTATTAGATGCCTGTGCACTCTTTAGCAAGAATTTTAGAAACATATAAGTGAAATAAGCTAGACACAAAAGGATAAATATTGTATGATTCCACTTATATGAAATACCTAGAATAGGCAAATTCATAGAGACAGAAAGCAGATTAGAGGTTTTTAGAGACCAAGGGGAGGAGGGAATGGAGAGTCATTGCTTAATGGTACAGTTTCTGTATGAGGTGATGAAAAAGTTTTGGAAGTAGATAGTGGTGAAGGCTGCACAACACTGTGAATCTAATTAATGCCACTGAATTGTACACTTAAAAATGATTTAAAACAGAACTTTGTAAGCATAAAAAGCATACAGACAACATCTGTATCTGTGCTGTCCAATACAGCAGCCACTGAGCACCCGAAATGTGACTAGTCCAAATTGAAATGTGCTTTAAGTATAAAATAGACACTGGATTTCAAAGACTTACTATGAAAAAAATGTAAAATATCTTAATAACTTTCTAATATTGATTACATGGAGACACTGGGTTAAACAAAATATAGTATTAAAATTAATTTTACCTTATTTTTAAAAATTTCTTAAATATGGCTACTAGAAAATTTAAAATTACACACATATAGCTCTCATTACATTTCTATTGGGTAGTGCTGGTCTATATTATTAGGAATATTTTGTTACTGGAAATCCCATCTGAGTTATTCAGTGAGTTTTAAAAGCTGGCAAACTCCTTCCATTAAAATGTTTAAGTATACTTCAGGCTTTAAAAATTTCCATCATTTCTTTACTCTAGACAAAAGATTACTTTTAATATTGGTGATGATAAATTTATAAAGCACATTAAAAAATCCTACTCACACCATGTAGCTTTTGGGTTTCTTTTCCAGTGAGATTTTTTCCAAAAAATGAGATAAATAGTATAATAATGCCATGAGGAAATTGTCAAGATTCTTATTCCTATGGTGAGATTTTTAAAAAAATAAAAAGGAATTAGTACAGTAACATATTTCAAACATAAGGTTTCTCATAAAAAAAATATGGGTACACAGCATAAGTGGAAACATACGTTGTTATGCCTATCACAACTAACTCACCATTTAAAGTTCTATATACTACACTGTGAAGATGTAAATTTGATTTTTAGAAACAAAACTTTTTTAGGAAGTCAAACACTAAATTCTTTTAGTTTTGCTTATCAATTAGTTTCCATTTTAAAAAAAGTTCTTATTATACAAATAATATATTTTCATTATTTTAAAAATGTTCAGAAATGTATCAAGTAAAAAGTTCTTTCTCCCTCATCCTTTTGTCACCATCCTACTCCCCAGGTAGTCACTGTTAAGAGTTTGGTATACAAAAAACTGATAGCTAACACAGTTCACTATACTAGGCCCTTCATGGTCATCTCAGTGATGTGGCATCTGAGGCTTATTTCTCAGTGTACTGGATTTATTCTGTGTGCTAGTATGTAAAGTAATTACTATTATTCATATATTTTGTCTTCAAATGTTCCGCTCTACTTAATGCTGTCTAAAGGCATAATTAGGATTTCCAGATATTAATATGATATAGCCAACGAAATAAAAATTCAATCCTTTATAGAGTACAAACGAAAAGTGAAAGAAGAGCAAAGAATATATGTGGTTATAAGTGAAATACTTTGTATTAATGTGTACCAGTATCAGTTGCCATTGAGTCAATCCCAACGCATGGCGTGTCAGAGGAGGATTGTGCTCCATGGGGTTTTCAATGACTAATTTTTCTTTGGAAGCAGATTGCCAGGCCTTTCTTCCGAGGTGCCTCTAGGTGGACTTGAACCTCCAATCTTTTGGTTAGCAACTGAGTGTGTTAACCATTTGCACCACCCAGGAACTCCATTCATGTGTATATATCTTAAGTGTTAAGAAAATAACGATGGAACATTGTCAAACCAATTGGTCATATCAATAAGTTTAATAATTTTTTTTAATTTAAAAAAGAAGAGTTTGGCATAAAAATTCTTCCTAAACTTTTTAAAACATAAACCACCATGCCACCACACACCCCTCATGCCCCAGTGCACACACACATGCACCATGCATGAATATATGCCTTTAAAATTTTTTTTTGGTAATACATGGGATCATACTGTACACACAATTCTTTACAATTTGCTTTTGTCACTTACCTGTGTAGCATGGATCTTTTTTTATGGTACTACATACAGATTTTCCTCTCTTTTAAACAGCAGAACACAGTATTTTACATCTCATAATTTATGTAACTAGTCCTCTATTAAGGAGCCCTGGAGGTGCTGTGGTTAACAGCTAGGCTGCTAACTTAAAGGTGGGCAGTTGGAACCCACCAGCTGTTCCGTCAAAGAAAAATGTGGCCGTCTGCTTCCGTAAAGACTACAGCCTTGGAAACCCTATGCGGCACTTCTAGTCTGTCCTATAAGGTTGCTATGAGTTGGACTCAATGGCAACAGGTTATGTTTGGTTTAGTCCTCTATTAACAGATATTTAGGTCTTTTTAAAAAATTAAAGACATTGCTCCAGTAATTATCCTTATAGCCGTATCTTTGAGCAAATTCCTAAAAGTGCTAATGTATGCACATACTAAATTTTCATAAGTCTTACTCTCCAAAAAAAGAGTCCCTGCATGGCGCAAAAGGTTAAACGCTCAACTACTAGGTGAAAAGTTGGAGGTTTGAACCCACCCAGAGGTGCCTTAGAAGACAGACCTGGCAATCTGCTTCTGAAAGGTCACAGCTTTGAAATCCCTATGGAGCAGTTCTACTCTGCACACACGGGGTCACCGTGAGTCAGCGGCAACTAATGACAACTCTCCAATAAGACTGCACTGATTTACCAATCCTATCTCATTTGTTTTTAACAATGATTTCTTTCAAAATATTCTTATAAGACTTTTGCTGTGTCCTTCTTGGCCCCAAATGGAAATTCTTTCTCTGGCATGCCTTCCTTACCTAGACCTTTAGAGTAAGATGAAGGTGAGCATTGCAGATTTTTTCGCAAGACAGTAATAGCTACCTGTCTTAGGTTAGCCCCCCAAGAAGCAGACCCGGAGACAAAGATTTGAGAGTAAGTAGTTTATTTGGGAAGTGATGTCAGGAAACATCCATAGGGGAGCAGGGGAAGTGAGATGCGAAAGGAGAGGAAGCCAGCAAAGGGTATGTTAACAAGTTAGTTATCACTGAGGACAAATGTAGCTCAGTCCTGTGGGGACTCTGGGAGACAGTGTAGAAAACAACCCAGAGTTACCTCAAATGACAAGCAAGGAGGCTGGGGCATTTATCTACCAACCCTCCCTCTGTCAGGTCACTGATGGAGGGTTGCTACTGGGGACACTGATTCTCTGGTGTTCCTAGCTTGCTTGCCCTGTGGTCAGGCTGAGTGTGCTCTGCTGTGGAATAAAGCCTTCAAGCAGAGAATCTCAGGTGTTTGCCATTGGCAGGCATCATGTCAGTGCTGAGGGACTTGGCTCGGCCCCAACAGCATCTGGAACACAACTCTTCCTGAGCATTCACTAAGCACCAGGTGCCATGGGAAGCACTTTCAACGCACAGCCTTAAGAAGGAGACATTGTTACTCCCCAGTTTTGTAGCTGAGGAAACTGAGGCTTAGAAAAGTAGCTTTCCGATGATCACCCATCTAGTACTTCTTGCAGCTGTCAAACATAACTAGTGAGAAAACTGAGCTTCAGTAAATCGGTATATCCCTTAACTGTTAGATAATTACAGTGTAGTCTTTATGGGTCTCTGACAACATGCTCTCCATACTTCTGGTCCTGGGACTCCACTGGGGGCTCCCTGACTTTTGCTTCTTCTCCCTGATTCTTTGGTCTCAGTCTTTCAGTCCTGACAGGGCAGTTTGCATAGAGCCAGTCTTGTGCTCTTTTTCCAAAAATCAAATTTGTCATCAACCATCAGATGGAATTACTTCAAAATAAAGGACAAAAGGTCTAAAGTGGTCTCATAAGCATTACATACTTCATAAATGTTGTAAAAGAACAGATTCGCTGCATCTCAGTCTCTTGTAGCAAAAGCAAAGCAACATCTGAAAGCAGAGAAGATGGACAATTGAAAGAGGGACAAAGAGCTGCCTTAGAGGTTCACACCAGACAACATATTGTAAAGATGAGGAAACAGTTACTCACATTTAACATCATCTAGTGTAACGTAGCCCTGCTGACCTCGTTTCTCTAAGGCTTTAGTTGACTTATCATCTCTCACAGCACATCTTTTATCTGCCAACCTGTTTTGGAATATAACAGTCTCCAGTAGTGTTTTGCAAGGTTTTAGTTACAATTAACCTATCCTGAAGTTCATGAAGCTTTTGGAAGCTTTTGCTTGGCTGCTAACTGAAAGGTGGGCACCCAGCAGCTCTGAGGGAGAAAAGACCTGACAATCTGCTCCTGCAGATTGTTGTTGTTAGGTGCCGTCAAGTTAGTTCTGACTCATAGCAACCCCATGTGCAACAGAAAGAAACACTGCCTGGTCCTGCACCATCCTCACAATTGTTGCTATGTTTGAGCCCACTGTTGTAGCCACTGTGTCAGTCCATCTTGTTGAAGGTCTTTCTCCTTTTTGCTGACCCTCTACTTTACCAAGCATGATGTCCTTCTCCAGGGGCTGGTCCCTCCTGATAATATGTCCAAAGTACATGAGACAAAGAGTACAGCCTAGAAAACTCTATGGGGCAGTTCTTCTCTGTCACATGGGGTCACTATGAGTCGAAATTCGACTCGATGGTACCTAGCAACAACAATGAGAGCCTGAGTGTCATGCATAGGTTTCATTTAATAGAAGATCATTTCGGAATACATTTTATTAAACACTATATTTACTATGCTCGGGGTGAGAGGAATGCACACTGCCTGATACAAGATGTAAATACCAGTTCCATCCAAAACAGGTAATTTAAATCATCCATTTATGGTGTAGCTACCATTTTCAAATTTAAAAAAAAGGTATAGAAAGTTGTAAACTTGCTGATTTTGAAATTACCACAGGGATACATGTACAGGAACTACTATAACTTTCATCATAGTTCTGAAATAGTACATGTTCTTTCCTTGATGGGTGTATGCATTCAACCTAAGATAATGGGAATAGTCTGTAAAGGCTTAAGCCATTCTGCTGAGAGGTGTGATCAGCAACACTGGCATGGTTGGAAAGTTAAGTTACCTGTCTGAAGCTGGACCATCAGTTTCAGCAAAGTGAACTGCTTTGCCTTTCTTTCCTTTTTCCTTGAGTTCTATTGAAGGTGTAAAACTGAAATAGAAATAAGAAAATTAAGAACTTAACGTTTTCCCAGGAGAAAATGATTAATCTTATCATTACCACAGCTCATGTAATCTTAGACTAGTTTATATTATGAGTGGAGGCTGAAGAGAATTTGAGGCACAGGCGTATTCATGTATTTACACATGGAAATCCTAGCAACAGATTAAAACTTCAAACTTTACATTCAGCGTCTAACCATGAGCAGTCTCCAGAATACCACCATACAAAAAAACATTTCCACTTGGAACAGTTGCAATAACTTTACAAGAAACACAAAACTCAAGATCAGTTTGGAAGGATTTTTTTGATGTATTATGTTCAAGTGCTTTTAGCATAATCTCATTTAATCTCCACAGCAGCTCTAGGAGGAAAATAGTATTATCGTCACCATTTTTAGAGATGAGAAAATTAAAGCTTAGAAAGAGAATAAGTAATTGGGTCAAGATCACTTAGCATGTGGCAAAGCCAGAATTGGTGTCGAGACTCTCTAGCTGCAGAGCCATGTGGTTAACCACCAGGCAATCCTGCCTCCTGAGCAGCTATCTCTGTTTTCACCGCTGCAGACCTTCCTAAAGGCCTGATCTATCTCCAGGAAGGTTTCAGGACCCTTTACTTAACTCAGGGTTTCTTAAACTCTATGGTCATTGTACAAGCATTAGTAAGCAGTCAGGGGCCTAAGCAAAACCAAAACTAAAAAAGTTTATCAAGCTGTACACGTAAGATTTGTATACTTTTACTGTATGTAAGTTATACCTCAATTTAAAAAGTAAAACAAGACTGTGTGAGTACACAAATCAAGGGACAGTTAGGAGAGACAGGGAAAGGAATACCATGAAGAATAGGTGGGCATCCCTTTTGTGTTAGAGCTGCTTTGTGTTTAAGCAGCTCGATGTGGCAGGCCTCAGACTGCAAGTTACAATCACCCTGGGAGTCCAACTGGTGGGTACAGAACTGTTGCTGCCGTTGTTAGTTGCCGTAGAGTCGATTCTAACTCACGGCTACCTGATGTGTGTAGAACAGAACTGCTCCATTGGTTTTCAAGGCTGTGACCTTTCAGAAGCAGATGGGTAGGCTGCTCTTCCAAGGTGCCTCTGGGTGGGTTTGGTGTGGGTTATTTGTAGATTATACTGTTGGAAACCCTATAGGGCAGTTCTACTTTGTCCTATAGGGTCACTATGGGTCGGAATTGATTTGACGGCAATGGAGTTTTTACTACAAGATAAGTTTGAAAAATACTGACAATTAACTTCATTTATAAACAAGCTGAACAAGAAAAAAGTATAGTCTGTTTTTCATCATAATAAGAGAGAACTGAGGTGGATATGGGAAAAAGAAAATGTTGGCGCTTAAAATTTATACCTACATTCTCTTGTGCTTTAACATATATTTTGACCCCTGTGACTATCTTCTCTGTCTAATCCCAAAGCTATCTCACTCCTTTTATCATGTATGCTGTTTAAAGAGCTACTCAACAGAATCTTCTGTGACATATGTGAGAACAAAAACTGAAATTACAGCTTTGGAAATGACTGATTTCTCAGAAATACTGAAATAAATATTCTAAGAAATATAAACGTTTAATTTTGAGTCTAATATGATATTAAACCTTTAAATTACTTATGTTTAATTAACATTAAATGTAATATCATATTTATAATTAAAAATGACTCCTTTCCTGAATTCCAGCCCTATTTGTTCAATAGCCTAAGAAACATATCCATGTGAACACATCATAGCAACCTGAAAACACTTCACCGGTTTTGCCTCTTTTATTCTGTACACAGAGGGGCAACCCCAGTCACTCAATCACCAAAGCAGACACCGCTTCTTCCTTACCCTTCACATCCAAGCACCACATCTTATCAATTCTACCCAAATATTCTGTCAATTTCATCTCTTAAATATTTCTTAGTCTTGTACATGCTCTCTATTCCTACCAACACTTAGTTCTGACTCTGTTTCTTACCTGTATAACTACTGATAATTCTCCTACAACTAGCCTTCTAATTTGTCCTCTGCATCTAGTCTTGCTGTGCTTGAATTCTGCTGGTTTACTGAACAAGTTCAGTAAACATTCATTTGGAGAGTGCCTATGCTGGATGCATAGGTATGCTATATTATAATTGCCCCCAGTATCCCCAGCTGCTAATGGACATAATAGCTACTAATGGACACGAAGTGTGTGCTTTAGGGTGAGATGATTGCCCTCTGAAGAAAGCCAGAACTCTACCTTAGTGCGGTAAAGGAGGAAGGGTTCCTCTCTGGCACCAGTAAATCTATTATAGCCTAAACGGGGCAGTAAATGATGTCCATTGCCTACAGGGGGCCGTTTACTTTTATTACCCCTTTTAACTTTTATTGTCTGCTTTCATTACCCCTTCTCCTACCTGCTCTCTGTACATGCTACCTGGCATGTAGACGTGGCTGTCCAATTAATATTTAATCCTGGGAGGGAGGAACTTCGACATTCTCTTCCCAAGATGCAAACTGGAGCGTGCTAGGATACCACTAACATCACTCTGTGGCCGGAAGCCTAACTTCAGGGAACCCAGGCTGATGATGATGCATGCTGTTCTATTCATCCCTGTTTATTCTGTAATAAACGCCTGTTGATCACTCCATTAGAAGTGTCTGGTTTGTGCTCTGCTCCGAATGATCTTTCACTAAGAACTTGTGGATGTAGCGACATTGCAGCCTACTTTGTGAAGTTTGGGACAGGAAGATGAGTAAGACAATTCCTATCATTGAGGGGCTTATGGTATAGTAGGAAAGGGGCCCTGGTGGCACAATGATTAAACTCTCGGCTGCTAACTGAAAGGTCAGCAGTTCGAACCTACCCAGCGGCTCCAAAGGAGAAAAGACCTAGCAAGCTGCATCAGTAAAGATCAAACAAAACCAAAAACCAAAACCAACTCATAGCGACCCTACAGGACTGAGTAGAACTGCCCTCATAGGGTTTCCAAGGCTGTAGATCTTTATGGATCAGCAGTGTCTGGCATATAGGAAACCCGTTGCCACTGAGGACAGTGTAGAACTGCCCCATAGGGTTTCCAAGGAGCAGCTAGTGGATTCAAACCGCCTACCTTTTGGTTGGTAGCTGAATTCTTAACCACTGTGTCACCAGGGCTCCATAGAAAGCAGGTGATAAATGTTAACAGCAAGTGATGCCTGGAAGGCTGTTCAAATTGTTAACAACGGTTATCTCTAGAGGGTGGGACTGCAGCCCTAAGGGCAAATAAAAACCTGTCACCATTGAGTCAATTCCAACTCATAGTGCAAAGACAAACTAAAAACAAAGAAGACACCTCCCTTACCTCCACCCCAAACACTCCCACCCCTGCCTTTTACTTTTAGCATTTACTTTAGAAAATATATAATTGCTGCAAGTTCTTACTCAGTCTCTTTGAAAAGTATGTAAATAAAGATGTTCCAAGGGCCTGGGAGCTATCTCTTTCGAATGTAATCATCAAGGAAGATCTCACCCCTACCTCCCAGTTTCCTGAAGGAGATTGGCATAGCTTCAGGTATCCTACCATAAAGATGCTAGAAAATTAGCAATTTTATCTTGAAAACATTGGTTGTATTCACTTAGCTATATAAAGGGTACATTTTTTTTTTCTTTTTTGTGGGGGAGGGGTAAGATTTCTTTCTGTCTTTGCAATCTCTTTATCGGATTGCCTGTGATGCTTCATATTCTGGCTTAATGCTTATTCAATAATAAAAATTTTCTTTCTCTTCTATTTTTGTGGAGAGGTTTTCTGGGTTGGGAGTAGATTTTGTTTTTACTTATATTTCCTCAACACAGCAGATATTAACTTTATTCTTTGTAGTCTTCTTTACTGCTTGAATTATTTTTTACCCCAGCACATATAATTTTTATTAAAAGGATAATAAAGTTTTGTTAAAATTTACCTTCTGAATTCAAGAGTTCTGGTATCATCTTTCCAGTACCACATCCCTAACTGTAACCCCGAATGCTGTAAAATGAAATGATTACAGCAAAAATAATTAAAAGTTCAGTTTACAATGCACAGGTCACAATAATTCCCACTAGTTGCTCAACTCTATTCAATAAAGATGTAGAAATTTAAAGTTGTTGTTGTTGTTTAAGCTGAAGCCAGGATTTTATCCTTTTTGTTTCTACGTGTAGTTTCAGTAGGAAGGAAAGAAAGAAACTCAGATTGCACATGCTCAAGGCTCAGCATAGCAATTTACAGATGAATTTGGGCTCATACAACAATAAACTGATGCCTAGGGAAGCTTTAACCTATTTGCTGAGATACATTTTCCTAATGGGAAGAGGAGCCCTGGTGGCTCAGTGGTTAAGCGCTCGCCTAGGTCGTTGGAACCCACCAGCTGATCTGTGGGAGAAAGATGTGGCAGTCTGCTTCCATAAAGATTTACAGCCTTGGAAACTCTATGGGGCAGTTCTACTTTGTCCTACAGGGTCACTATGAATCATCTGGGTGGCAACGGGACTGGTTTTTTTGTTGTGTTTTTTTAACAGGAGAAGCCGGCTCTAACATTGACCCCGCCCTTCTGGGGAAGTGAGCAAGGAACAAATTTACCGTTTTCACTAACTGGTAGATTCTGACCTATCAGCCTTTCATCTCCCAGGATCCCACCCAGAGCCAGACAGCTTCCTCCGCAATAGGGATATTTTGCAATCAACCAGTTTAGAGTGGGAAGGGGAACCCTTCGTAAATATCTAAATATTTGCGTACGGAGCCAGAATTCAATTCTGTGTGCCGAATACGCCTTTATAGTTTTGTTTTCGTAGACAAACTGCCCACATCACTTGGAGTACCGCTCCCCCAGGCACTAAGGCGGCGACCCGCCTCTGGCGAGGGCAAGAGGCTCAACAAAGCTAAACGAGGGCGTCTCGGTCCCGCGACTGAGCAGCACTGGCTCCTGCCGCGCCTCCCACCGGCTGCCCTGTGGAGACTGTCAAGGCTGCACGTACATCCGGCCGGGGAACTGAGAGACGGTCCAACTTCTTCCTCCTCGAATACAACTCGGCCACCGAAAACATGGCCTCCCCTTGACCGCGTCACAGCGTTGCGGAGGCAACCGCCCACAGGCGCCGGGCGGGCGGGGATCCTACTTCCGCCACGACGTCTGCGCGACCGCGTTCTCCGGCGATCCCTGAAGCATCGCCTATTGCTCCGTCAACCTCCTTACAACCTTTGCTCGTGGTGACTTTTTGGTTTATCCATAGTAAAGCTGCTCAGGGATTAATTCTTTGGTTTACTCACGGCATCCCAACACTGAAGATAAACCACTTGACTTTTTTAATTGGAATAACTAGATTCAGTCTTATAGAGACGATCCATTTGTTCCAAACTTTATTAGGTTTATTAGAACCTATTAAGGTTCAAATCCTGGTTGGTCCTAGATTAATGGGCAACGTGGGGTAGGGGGAGAGAGGTAGTGTAGGAAGAGAACGTAGGTATGGAAATAAGGTTTTCAAAACTTAGTTCTGCTACTTCAGTAGCTGTGGAATCTAAGAAATTAACTCTCATCCTTCTTCCTCATGTGAAAACATCAAATCAGGGGTTATCAGAATTTTTAAGCTGTAATGTTTGTAAAGCATCGGGCTTAATACACAAAGTTAGTGTTGCTCAAAGCAAAGAAACTTGCTTTGTGTCAGACGGTGCTCCATTGATATTTTTACATTTATACTTATTTTCACTTCTCAAATCTTGTGTCTTGTAATTCCTTCTTGCTTCTAAATTGACATGCAGATTCTGGTTGATATTTTTTTCCAACACCAATGTAGGCAATGCTAGATGCAACATGATTGGGAATGCTTAGTGTATTCTGCTTTTCTATTCCCACAGCTTAACTGGCATAAGAGATGCTCAGTAAGTGATTATATATGTCCTTAATAAACTTAAAAATATGTAATAGATATCCCACTATATCCCTCCACCACCACTGCCGTCTCAGTATCACTTCTTGTTAACACACAATCACTGGTTACCAAAACCAGTTGACATTTATGACTCACGGTGATCCATCCCATATGTGTCAAGAGTGGAACTGTGCTCCATAGGGTTTTTCAATGGCTAATTTTTTGGAAGTAGAAAGGTGCCTCTGGATGGACTGGAACTTGCAACCTTTCGGTTACCAGCTGAGTGTGTTAACTGAACCACACAGGGGACTACAATACACAGTCACTGGTTACAGTGGTATAAAATTGTAATCATCTGGATTCATGTTCCACTCACTTGAGTCAGTTGTTGGTAGCTGTTCAGGTTGGCTCAGATACACTGAAATTCACCTACACATTGGCAGTGGTGGGTTGAGGCTGTGGCCTCAAGACCTGCTTATTATAAGATGAGTCACTTGAAAAGGAATGAGAATATCCCAGTTGTCAAAAGCCTTTCACCACTGAATTTAACTTGGGGAAGTGGGGAAGCAGGGAGAAATAAAATAATGAGCTGAAGCTCCAGAAAGGACAAAGACCAAGCAATCTGGATGGAATTCAATCACCTCACAATCATTATCAGGAAGAACTTATTAAATATACTAGGTCAGTCAACCTCTTTGCAATTGATCCCAATGAGTGGAGAAATGCTAACAGAAAACACAAGATCTAATATAACTCACCATAGTCTAACTTCAGTTTGTCTAATGCAGAAAAAAACTAAGGTAAAAGTTACTGAGAAACCAAAACAATGACTCATATAAATTACATGACAAGTTATTTCACAGGTGGTAGAGGGACATAATATTTAAAGGCATTTCATAACTCTGAAGGGATTTTCTCATACTTCTGTATCACCATACTCTAAGAAAAGTTCTGGTTATAGTAAAGAAAGAAAAAATGGCTTTTATAGCTCTAAATCATTATTTATTCTAAAAAATGACCCACTGATTGCTTAGATTTTTTCACCAATTAGGTTTTTCTTAAAAATGATGACATTAGAAATTCACAACTTAAACTGGAAATAGAATTTTTCCCTTTTCAAAGCAAAGAAAAACAATTCACATAATGTAGGGATAAAGGTACCTTCTAAATATTTGTAATTCCGAGTGTTCCATGAAGGAAAGATTTTTTTGCCTAATTAAGACAAACTCCCCAAGGTCATAGGTTGTTGGTTGCACTCAAGTCGATTCCGACTCAAGGTGATCCCATGTGTACAGAGTAGAACTGTTCCATAGTTTTCAAGGTTGTGAGCTTTGAAAAGCAGATTGCCAGGCCTGTCTTTGAGGGGCCTCTGGGTGGGTTTGAATTGCCTTAATGATTTGTACCACCCAGGGACTCCATTCAAGGTCAATTATTACCTAATAGAACTAAATTGCTAGTCTCAGGTTCTAGGCCCAAGACATTAACTGAACACAGTGTATGTTTATACTATGGAAAAGCTATAATGGACAGATGTCCATAGTGTTGTAACCCTAACTAAAAAAACTGTACATGTTAGAAAACAGAAATGTCAGATTTTGAATTAGCAACTCCATTTTTGGTTGCTTATTTCCCCAAATTTCAATTCACAAACATAATAATCTAATCTACACTGAAAAGGGTGAAGGAAAGGGCCTATGGATCTTGATGGGAAAGACATTTCAACTTTTAGTATCCCATTAAATTTCAAAATGCATATATACCCTAAAACATTCCCATTCCCAGAGATATATCAAAAATAAATACTGGGCTTTTCTAAAGACCCATAATTTCTCTTTCAAGAATGAAATTCTGAATCTAATTTTAACATTCAAGGATAGTCCCTCAAAACAGTTTACTCAGACCTAAGTGTTTATACATTAAATGGAAGCAATTGAATATTCCTGTTGCCCCTTAACCTAAATATATATATTCCCTTAGCAACTGTCTTGTGATGCTTGGATTTTTTAAGAATTTCCAAAACTTCAATTTAATTCCAGTGTTATTTATCAAGAGGAACATACTTCACAATTTTTATAAACTACATTCAGTTTATAGTAGGTGAATGCCTTATCATGGTCCCAGTATTTGAAATTCACAAAAACATTATCTTTTCACTTCATCCAGATGGCCTGTTGAAGATTATACATATGTAAACATTTAAATTCTCACTACATGTCCTTGACGTACTGAATAGGTGATAAATACCCTATTGTACACATTGTTTAAAAATGTAAATAGCATTAATATTCCTAATGTACAAGTCAAGTTTTAATGCTTTCCATTATACATATTAAATACTATAAGATGTTTAAAGTGAGCTTGTTTTGAAATTTCACATATCTCAAATACTGTAAACAACCTGTTATATCTTATTTTGACAGGTGTCTAGATTTATTGCCTTAGAACAAGGACAACTATGTTAATCAGACATTTCAGGTAAGAAGAATTTAAGTACCTATTCTGAGAGATGTATTTCTTCAATGCTTTAGCATTCCATAAGTGCTGTATTTGCTTTAGTCATGACTACTAGTCTCTAGCATAATTTACTAATTTTCAAGTTCAAGAGATGCTAATTATTCCTTAAAAACTGTAATTTAGCCCTGTCCTACATCAAGTGCTTTTTCCATTGTCATTTGACTATGGCTAATCTAACACCTGCTATGCAGTTCCCAGGAGTTACCCAGTTACCAGTTTCAACTGACTTTTGGAAACACTGACTGGCTACTTTGGTGTCTTTATCTTAGTAATATTCAGCTCTATGTAGATTTGAGAAGACAGAATTAAAAAAACACTCCTCAAGAAAGCTAAGAACTAATTATCTAAATATTACCTCCCCTCCTCCAAGTAATTACTTTTCAAAATAACAGAAAATGAAGTATCTACATAGATTAAGAATAGTGTTATAGCAAGTCACCAGAGGCCAGGCTATAGGAACAAGGCGACTAACATCAGCCATTTTTCTGATACCTTAGAAACTAATCTCTTTTAGAGTGAGGTCTGAATCATGCTAATACCAAACTCCACTTACAGAAAAACTCCATTATATTTTGAAGTTAGGGCAAGAAATAAACACTTTTGACAAATAAAAGACTAACAAAAGATTAATACAATGGGTATTATCTTTGTAAAACTCCTATTTATGTTAAAAGTCACTCTAAGGGTAGCATTCACCTAACTCTGTTAAGTACTAAGGTAGTTTGTCAAATATTTATGTGATACTATCTACAGTCAAATGAAACACCCTTAATACCTCCTCATCGAAAACTTTCCACCAACGTGACAACACTAGCACTGGTAAACTGCAGTCATCTTCAGCTTTTCAGAGTCTAAAGGTCAGTCACCTTTAAAAAAATTTAAGCTTTTTTTGAAAAAATTTCACAATTGCCTTTTTGCCCCCTACTCAGCCACCCCAATGAGACTTGATAAAAAAAGAAAAAAGCTTCTATGTACGTAAGATTCAACTCTTGTGAGAGGGTCATTACCAAAGCCCAATATTCTCAGGCTAATCTGTTCTAATTTTTAAATTATAATTCTTCGCATTATTCTAAAAGCTGATGTCACCGTCTGACACAAAATGGTCCACTACTAAATTAAAAATATTGTTTCTACAATTCTTATGAACAACATGATGCAAATCTACATCACCTGGAAAGAGATACCAAAATGTCTATGTGTGGTAAAAACATTAGGTTAACTATGTATTTTTAAATCAGCTTTATTGAATTTCTCGGAAAGTTCCCCTTAAAGAGAACAAATCAGAAGCAGGTGCCACTCTATGAAAAAATAAACATGAGCCTCCTTTTCCCAAGGATGTGAATTTTAAAGCTTAAGCCTACAATAGTGGATATTCCTATCTGCAACAGTCTCAAACCAGATATATAGGAAAATGGACAAGTTGTATATTAACAAAATACAGGACTATCTTGTAGTTTGCCTTTTAAAAAATCTATTATAGTTATCTAAGGTAGGCATTGCAATGGCATTATGAGCCTCAAATCAGAAAAAAAAAAAAAATTTAAATATTACCTTCCCTCCCCCCAAGTAACTATAACTGCTGGAAAAAAAATGCATCCTAAAATGGAATTTGCCATTAACTCCTAAATTGAGCTGTTTTACAAGAATATGAAAGTTAAAACAAGTTTGACTAAATTTGGACTCAATATTAAGTCACTTTAAAGCTTGCCTGCTGGCTCGGGTTTCAGGCAAATGTATGTCACAGAAAGCAACTTGTTTCCATACTACCTGTGGCTACTGTTAGAAGACAACTCCTGCCTCAGTTTTGGTTAGTTTGGAGAAAGAAGTAGTTTATACTTAACCCCAGAGTGTAGTTTATATTTTGCTGGAATATTCTGGTGAGTTCTCATTTGAACACTTATGCCAGGCTTTAGGAGCTTAGGTACACTGGAAGACCCCAGTTTCTGTACAGGTTTCTTTATTAAAGAGAGAGAGAAAAAAAAATTTACCCAGATCTTCTCCCCTTAAGTTGTTGATAATTCAAGGCAGGAACCTCATCTGAGAATTAGACAAGATTAGGTTAGATAAATTTCGCATCATACTCAAAGGCCAACATGCGTAAAACAGTAAAGTTAGGGAAAATTGAGAACTCCCAGACAGTAATTTTGAGATCAATTATAACTTTACTTTAAATTTGTATTTATGCATCTGTTTGCAAAAAGTATGCCTGTCCTTAACATTACTGCAATGTTCACTTTAAAGTACTATGTAAAAATAAACAATTCAAGCTTCTATATTTTCTATCGCCCTAAACTTCCAAGGACAGGTGTGCAAACGTCACGTTTCTCATCTCCCACAAATCTCCATGCACAAACTAAGCTAACCAAAAATGCTCAAATCAGCAAACATGCAAAATGCATTAAAGAGGAACCTCAAATAGTGATTTTAAAATCAAACTTTAGAACTAAGCTTTTATAATTAAACTAAGTTGTTGCACCTTTCCTTTCATATGCATACACCGGGCTAAAGACTTCCAACAACAGATTTTGTACTTGGCACAATGGCATTTCAAAGAAGAAACAAAAACAAAAGAAAAAAGAGAGAAAGGAAAAGGGGTTTACGCTGACTCGAGTGCAAGTTTAGTCCACTTCCTCGATGGTCGGTCCCCCGGAGGCTCCGGACCCGCCACCGCCAGGGCCGCCTTGGTAAAGTTTGCTGATGATGGGGTTGCACACTCTTTCGAGCTCTTTCTGCTTGTGTTCATACTCGTCTTTCTCCGCCATCTGGTTTCGGTCGAGCCAGCTGATCACCTCCTGACACTTGTCGAGTATCTTGTTTTTGTCCTGCTCGCTAATCTTGCCCCTCAGTTTCTCGTCTTCCACCGTCTGCTTGATGTTGTAGGTATAGGACTCCACGGCGTTTTTGGCGGCGACCCGCTCGCGATTGGCCTCATCTTCCGATTTGTACCGCTCCGCCTCCTGCACCATCCGGTCAATGTCATCCTTGCTCAGACGACCCTTGTCGTTGGTGATGGTGATTTTGTTTTCCTTACCAGTGCTCTTGTCAGCGGCGGTGACATTGAGGATGCCGTTGGCGTCGATGTCGAAGGTGACCTCGATCTGGGGGACCCCGCGGGGCGCGGGGGGAATCCCGGTCAGGTCGAACTTGCCCAGCAGGTTATTGTCCTTGGTCATGGCCCGTTCGCCCTCGTACACCTGCACCAGCACGCTGCTCTGGTTGTCCGAGTAGGTCGTGAAGGTCTGCGTCTGCTTGGTGGGGATAGTGGTGTTCCTCTTGATGAGTGGGGTCATGACGCCGCCAGCCGTCTCGATGCCCAGTGACAACGGGGTCACGTCGAGCAGCAGCAGGTCCTGCACGTTCTCCGACTTGTCCCCGATGAGGATGGCCGCCTGCACCGCGGCGCCGTAAGCCACTGCCTCGTCGGGGTTGATGCTCTTGTTCAGCTCCTTGCCATTGAAGAAATCCTGCAGCAGCTTCTGGATCTTGGGGATACGGGTGGAGCCACCCACCAGCACGATCTCTTGTATTTGGCCCTTGTCCAGCTTGGCGTCGCGCAGCGCCTTCTCCACCGGCTCCAGGGTCCCGCGAAAGAGGTCGGCGTTGAGCTCCTCGAAGCGGGCGCGGGTGATGGAAGTGTAGAAGTCCACGCCCTCGTAGAGCGAGTCGATCTCGATGCTGGCCTGCGTAGACGAGCTCAGGGTGCGCTTGGCGCGCTCGCAAGCGGTGCGCAACCGCCGCACCGCCCGCTTGTTAGGCCCAATGTCCTTCTTGTGCTTGCGCTTGAACTCCTCCGCCAGATGGCTCACCATGCGGTTGTCGAAGTCCTCGCCGCCCAGGTGGGTGTCCCCGGCGGTGGACTTCACCTCGAAGATGCCGTCCTCGATGGTCAGGATGGACACGTCGAAGGTGCCACCACCCAGGTCAAAGATGAGCACGTTTTTCTCGCCGCCCGCGCAACCCTTCTTGTCCAGGCCGTAGGCGATGGCCGCCGCTGTGGGCTCGTTGATGATGCGCAGCACGTTGAGGCCCGTGATGGTGCCCGCGTCCTTGGTGGCCTGGCGCTGCGAGTCATTGAAATAGGCCGGCACGGTGATGACCGCGCTCTGCACCTTGCCCCCCAAGTAGGCTTCGGCGATCTCCTTCATCTTCGTGAGGACCATGGAGGAGATCTCCTCCGGGAAGAAGGTCTTAATTTCGCCCTTGTACTCCACCTGCACTTTGGGCTTCCCGCCCTCGCTCACCACCCGGAACGGCCAGTGTTTCATGTCCGACTGCACTGTGGCGTCCTCGAACTTGCGTCCTATCAGCCTCTTGGCGTCGAAGATGGTGTTGGTGGGGTTCATGGCCACCTGGTTCTTGGCGGCATCGCCGATGAGGCGCTCGGTGTCGGTGAAGGCTACGTAGCTGGGGGTGGTGCGGTTGCCCTGGTCGTTGGCGATGATCTCGACCTTGCCATGTTGGAAGACCCCCACGCACGAGTAGGTGGTGCCCAGGTCGATGCCGATGGCTGGGCCGCGGGCAGACATCCTGACTGAAAGGCAGGCAAGCGAAACTTGAGGAGAAAACCCGGGAGAGAAAAATCCGCGGTGTCAACTAACTGCCTTTTCACACTGGACACCACGAGCGCGATCAACGTCTGCCCGCTAGGCTCCTCGCTTTTATAGCCGCCTCCCCACCGCCTTCTGGAAACTCCCAGAGCCAATCCACTCTTGGGACCGCCCGCACAAGCTCTTCCTGCCCCGCTACAGGCTTGCTTGGGTCGGAGTGACCGGCCTGTGACCCAACAGATTTCAAGTTGGGTGAGGGGCGGACCCCGGCCGGAGCGAGGAAAGCAAGGGGCGGCCGTTATGCAAATGACACTTCTGTGTCTCCGAAGCGGCCTGCACCTCCGCGCCTCGCGCGCAGCCTGCAGCTTGGGGGCGTTAGGCTCCTGCCCCACGAGCCAGCGGTACGCGCATTTTCGCTATCTTTGCCTTTCCTAAGGTGGGATTCGTCGACGCCCACTGGATTGGCAGGGCAGGCGACCAATGAACGTCGCGGACTCCAAATTGGGGGGGCGGGAAAGGTTTGGGCGTGGCGCGGGGAGGAGTGTGTGGGCGGTTTCGGTGACGGGGGCGGCTTGTTCTCTTCGCGCAGTTCCTAAGGCGGTTTAGTGCTAGGAGTCCTTACTAACCGAGCAGGCAGGGACGGCGGTGTTCCTTCTGAGTTGGTTGCACTGAGGCCGTTTGGCCGGAACCGGCTTTTTTCTTCCGTCTGCGCCGTCCAAGATGAGGGGACGGGGCGTTGGCGTGGCCAGGGTGAGAGGGCGGCTTGCCCAGCTGAGGACAAAAAGAAATGAAACCGAAGTTCTTGAACGATGGTCAGTCTCCTAGAATTTTATATTGCGTGCTTCGCAGCGTCTCTGGGTGTGAGCGCTAGATAAAAACTGCGTGGCGGGGAAAACCTGAGCCCCGGGAGAGGTGACCGTTTTCCCGCGCCAAGTTCAAGGCGCCTTCGGGATCAGAGTCGGGAATGGCTGCAACTCGGCCTCGCAGGAGCCTGCTTTTTGAACTTTCTACACCTCACTTTTCATTTTTCCTACTTGCCCTACCGTTTTAAGCTTCCTGGTTTCATCTCCCTGTTCTCCCTGTTATTTTCGGATTCAAGTGCTTTATCCACCGCCTTGAGTTTTTCATGGAAAGATATAAAAATAAAAACCTTCACGTTGACGCACTATAAAATAACCTAGCCTCACTCCCTGCATGATTCTGTCATCCCCACCATACGTGCGACCGTGTTTATGACCGAGTTACCTCGAGTTATCTCAAAGGAATGAAATTTCCTTTCTTTAGCTGAAATAAAATTATATTAGAGGCATAAACCCTCAACGAGAGAAGGCAAATGAGTAGAACTGCAATTCATTCTCATGTTTAAGATGCATATGAGAATAGTCTGGAAAGAACTGTCACCAGATGACAGGAGGTGGAAGCAGGCTGCTGTAAGTGAGCACTGTGCTAGGCACAGAGTACTAAAACAAATAGTCTGTCCTTAAGAGATTGAGCGTTTAGCAGAGAAGTAAACATAATTGAAGAGAAGTGCTGAGAGAAAGATACTATGGGAACACAGAGGAGGGGCCACAACCATCCTGAGAACAGTATGTTGGTGAGGGCTTCCTGGAAGAGATGACATGTGTGAGCTGAGCACTGAAGTTTGCCAGCAGAGGAGAGTCGCTATGAGTCAGAATCCACGGGTGGACAACGGATTTTTTTTTTTTTTTTTTTCCCTGGATGGGCAAAAATGAGACCAGTGTGTGCTAGGGAGAACTACAAGTTCCCTAAGGAAGAGTAGTGTCGCTAGAAGTGGAGGGGTACAGGCAAAAAATGGTCTCTTCAGGTTGTTGTCGTTTTTAGGTGCGGTGGAGTTGGTTCCAATTCATAGGGACCCTGTGTACAACAGAACGAAACACTACCCAGTCCTGCGCCATCCTCACAATCGTTATGCTTGAGCCCACTGTTGTAGCTGCTGTGTCAGTCTATCTCGTTGAGGGTCTTCTTTTTTGCTGACCCTCTACCAATGTCCTCCAGGGACTGGTCCCTCCTGATAACATGCCCAAAGTATGTGAGACATAGTCTCACCCGTCCTTGCTTCTAAGGAACATCATGGCTGTAGTTCTCTTCAGGTGACACGATAAATTTAAGGGTTTTGTGTGCCATGGTCTTTTTCCTGAAGTTATGGAAGGGAGGGGGATTGTTGGGGGAAGAAACATCCTTTGACGCAGTCTAGTAAGGTAAAGTCCATATGAAAGTTGTGTCAGACAGTACTGGAGAAAAATTTTTGTCTGAGACACATGAAGTTATCTGTGACAAAAAGTAACGCTGACAAAATCCTATAAAGTCAATGAAGGTTTAAGATTCTTTTATCTGGCTGTGTATATAATTTCTAATTTTTAAAAAACACATTTGCCATTAATTTGTTAATCTCATTGGTTAAATAGTACTGTTTTTAATCCCAATTACCATCCTTTTCTCCATTAAAGTTAAAAATTTTTGAAATAGGAAACATGTTTTAGAAAGTATTAGAAGAACAAGAATTAAAAACAAAAAAGTTTCTGTTGAAGCTTCCTTAAATTGTGAATACAGATCTCTCGGAAATTCTTGCCTTTTATGTAGTTAAACAACTGATCAGTTTATCGTACTGTGGTGGCTTGCATGTTGCTGTGATGCTGGAAGCTATGCCACTGGTATTTCAAATATCAGCAGGGTCATCCATGGTGGACCAGTTTTGGTAGAGCTTCTACACTAAGACTAGGAAGAAAAGCCTGATGATCTACTTCTGAAAATAAGCCAATGAAAACCTTATATATCATAACACAATATTGTCCAATAAAGTGCTGGAAGATGAGCCCCTGGGTTGGGGGGGCGGGGACCAAACCCATTGCCCAGAGCTGATTCCGATTTATAGCGACCCTATAGGACAGACCGGAACTGCCCCATAGGGTTTCCAAGGAGCAGTTGGTGGGTTTGAACTGCTACTTTTTGGTTAGCAGCTGAGCTTTTAACCACTGACTGCACCACCAGGGCTCCCCTGGGTTGGAAGACATTCAAAATACTAGGTGGTTCCAACAATGGACTCAAGTATACCAATGATCATAAAGATGGCACAGGACCGGGCAAAGTTTCATTCTGTTGTACATGGGGTTGCCATGAGTCAGAGCCGACTCAAATGCAACTAACAACCTTTAGTTTAAAAAAGAGAGAGAGAGAAGAGGGAATTAGTGGGCTGGAGAGAAATACAAATTCTCTGTGGAACTGGTGATATGATGTGACTTAGAGATAGAATCCCAGCTATAACTGACAACAGAACTAAGAAATACAAAACTGTAAGAAACAAACACACTTACCTCAAACAAATTAAGATTACAGAAAAAGCAAGCAGGCCTGAGTGCTCATACACAAACCCTAAAATTAGAGCTTCAGAAGAGAGAGGTTCTTTTGCATAGTAACTATGTACCACCTCTGTGTACAGTTACTACAAACAAATCTGACAGTTTAACTACCAATTCATCTTTAACATAGCTTTCTGAAACCACAGTAGCAATTACATCTGCATTTTCCTTAGCTCTATATATTTTTTTCTGCTTTAACTTTTCACCTAGTAAATTGATGTTTCATATTTTAAATGGCATCCTGAGCTTTTTCCAAAAAGACAGTATTTGCATTTTGATTTTATATGAAATAAACTTTTGCAATCCTAGAACATTATTACATACTGATCATTCTTGAAATTTTTACACTTTCCTTACTTGTATTGATTTTTTTAAAATCATGCTCTTTTTTTTTTGATGACTGTGGCTCAGAATTAATTAAAAGCATAGTCCCTTAAAATTCACCAAAATAATGAATTTGTGATCAAATAATATTCATTAGTGCCAGCAAAGGTGCAGCAAAACAGGCAAACTAGTGGGAATACAAATGAGTACAATCTTTCTGGAAGACAATGTGACAGTATTTATTTTTGACCTTAAATATGATCATATCCTTCATTTACTACTACTTTTTGTGGGATTCATCCTAAGGACATAATAAAACATGCAGGTAATGTTATTTGTAATAGCAACAACTAAAAGGAAATGGCCTAAATTTCCAACAGTAAGAAAGTGATTACATGGATTATAGTATATCCATATGATTAAATGTTATGCAGCCATAAAATGGTTTATAAAACTTTTAATCACACACAAAAATGTTCTGGATATTAGTTTAAAAAAAAGAAGATATAAGACTGTATATGTCAGATAATCTTATATATGTGAAAAAGATACCACAATTGGTTGTCTCTAGTACAATAATTTCTTTACTGTACTTTTACAATTGATTTTTAAAACTTGACTATTAACATTCAGTTGAGACAGTGTTTACTACTCCTATTACTTACACAGAAATTAATATTGATTTTCTAAAGTGAAATCTGTTTGGCAGATTGTAAATACTAAAGTGTAAAATATTCTTCAAAGCCAAAACTGAGGTTCCACGAAAGTTTAACGGGGGAAAAAAATAAGAGCTTTGACATCTGTTCAACTTTCTCTCATGTATCCCCAGCACTCAGAAAAATACCTGAACATAGTAGTAATTCACAGCTCAGTGTTTATTAAAAGTAACAAGAGACACATTATTTAACCAAATAATTGGGAATAATAACTCCATTTTTTTTTTCCCCCGTAGAAGCGGAAGATCCTCTGGCTACCTCACATATTTGTCTACTAAATGATGTTGCAGAGATCAAAAGCTAAAACAAATTCATGTTTGAAAAGATTTGTATGGGATACAAGGATGGACAAGGTGAGGTCTAGAACTATGTGCATAGGCAATAAGGCCTGCTCTATGGAGACTAGTTGAGCAAGAATAATTTTTTTCATTATTACTAGAAAAAACAAACTTGTGGATTTTCTTGGAATGCCTTCAACTCCCACCCAGGCACAACCTTAATAGGGGTTTTGGATTGTTTTGAGGGAGTAGTGCTAGCCTGAGTAAAAGGCGGGGTAAGTAGCAGCTGTCATTTGAGGACCTATGAGCAAACTGGAGTCAAACTAGCAATTATATTTAAGATTTCCATAAATACTGCCATTGTATAATTATTTGAAAGTGTCCTTGCCCAAAATGTTTCTCCAGTCACCTGTCACTATAGGAAAACTT